TTTGTAGAGCTTTCCCGTGTCAGACTGGAAGTAGAAGTCATGATGGTTTGGTAAACTGATGATACTATTAGATTTGCTGGCATGGTTTTATGGCATAACAGAGATCAGATGTACAAACAAGGAAAACCAGCTCTAGGGAATGCCGATGTAATCCCATCTCTTATTTGGACATGGGTTTTGAATATTTTCGGACTGTGCAAGAAAAAAAAAACCTTATTATGCAAGAAGGTCTGCTTACATCAGATATTGGCACTAGATACGTTTGGATACACATGTTCCTCTTTGAAGGAAATGACCCTGAAGTAAAAGCAGTCTTTCTAGAAAAACACTTTTTTATTATTATTTATTAAGTAAATACTATTCAACACTTCAGGTGTTTTTTATCATCAGTATCACATTGTCCTGTACAGGAGAAAACAATGATTAACCATTTAATCAGAGCAAAGCAAATCAATTCCACCGACAAAAAGGTTACCATGGTTTCTGTGAGAGGGAGCTCTGCGTGTGTGTGTGTGTCGGATCAAATCAGATTATTGATGAGGGGGCAGAGAACCTCGCTCCCATGGTCTTTAATGACTACCTGCAATCACCTCTGAGATATGAACTTTCTCCTGAGAGGACATTGTCCCCCCCCACCCCTCCCCTGTGGATTATGATGATGCGACCTGATATGCCCTATGAAGAGCTGTGATGGTCAATAAATTGCCTTCATGCAGTTTTAATTGGCTCTCATAATAATCTGAATCCTAGAGATCGGATGCGATGGAGAGATAGATTTTAATATAAGCACACTGCTAAAGTAGCTTGGACACATCTCTGTTTCATTTACGATTTCTAATGAATACTTTCATGCACTGTAAACTATATTCAAATTACAAAAACAACCGTATTTTGCATTAACCAGCATACAATAGAGCAGTGGTTCTCAACTGGTGGGTCGCGACCCAAAAGTGGGTCACGAACTCGTTTCGAGTGGGCCGCGGATGTGTGAGTGAAGAAAAAAAATGTTTGGGGAAAAAGTCAAACTTTTATTTTGAAGGCCCGATTTTCTAACGCTGTGCATGCAGTCGGCGTTGGACCCGGAGACCATAAAAGGTTTTGAAAACTTCTGTCACGTAGTGATCATCTTCTCAATAACATATCTTTGCTGATGTTTTTTCAAGTCTTCTGGCCAATCAGAATCAAGATTGTTGCCGGAAGTCCCCACGGAGAATAACTTTGCGGTAGAACTCTTCTTTATACATCCATGGGTACAACTTCAGATAAAAATGAACACATAATGAAATATGACCCCCGGTTTGATGATTGATAAGTCACAGAACATTGGGAGCTATCTACCCTTACTCA